GGGGGGGGAGGCGGCGGGGCGCTCGGGGTGGGCCGGCGGGGAGGGCGGTGTGTGTGTGTGTGTGGTGGGGTGATGGGGGGGGGTCGGTCAGGACGGAGAGGGCTGTGTAGGTCTTGGGGTGCCGAGCCGGGTGTCAGGGAGACCGAGGGAGTTTTAAATAGTGTGAGAGCTGAGGGCTCGGCCCCAGCCAGCCGACAGGGTTTTTTTTTTTGTTGTTGTTTTTTCATTGGGAATCTTGAGGTCTTGGAGGGGATCCCGGGGTCGAGGACTTTACAGACCCTGTTCATCCGGGCTCGGAAAGGTCCTCTTACAAATACGAGGGCAGAAAAGGGGGCGGGCGTCACGGGGTGGGGGGGAACCTTCGAGCTAAAGGGCTGGAAGGGTTCAAGCCGAGCGAAGGGATTGGGGGGAGTGTTATTGGGTTAGCTGAAATGGATATGTGGGCATCGAGTGGCTTTAGGAATCATTGGAGAGCTAATCACTGCACAGTAAGGAGAGTGAGAGGTGCTCAGCGTTTTTAAGTCAATACCGTGAGGTAGAACTTAATTCTTTTTTAGATACCATGGGGTGGTGGTGGTGGTGGTAGAAAGGGGAAGGTTTAGGCATTAAGTTGGAGGGGTACACACCTGCAGCACTGAGGGACTTCAGATACCACTATTGGAAGAATAACCGGGAGACTAGAATGAATAAGGGTTTTGTCCAAGATGAGAGGACAGCTGAAGATAATCGGGGGGTGGGGGGGATGCAGGACAAGGAACAAGAGGTCTGTCGTTGAAATATTTTGGATGGTGTTAGGGAATTGTAGAAACATCCCGAGGCTTGAAAGGGATAGAAGAGGTACCACCTTTTTTCTTTTCTAACTGTTTAAAAAGGAAGTAAGGTTTTGTGTGGAGTATTTATTTGGGGGTGGGGGATCTCCAGGGTATAACCTAGACTCTGGAGTGGGCGGGCCGGTGGGGGGAGGCCAAGAAGGTTGAGGGCTGGAGAGAGTCTTTAACCAATAATTTGAATAGAAGGCATGCAGCGGGGAATGGAAGGGAAAGGATCATTTCCATCCTTCATTTCTGCTTCTTGCTTATATACTCTTATGAAAAAGTTTAGGGCTTTCTGCCTGAGTAAAAGGCCAGGTTTTGATTCATTAGATCAAAGTAGATCAGATTATGTTAGAGGAATCATTGAGTGTTTTTCAGTGGTACAAGTATTGAAGCAGCTTGTATGATAAAGTTGGGGCTGTTGGGAGACAGTGGCAAGCCACTAAGACTTTTCTGTTGAACTATTATTCTATACTCTTGCTAGGAAACCTAGTTAACTCTTTGGTTTTGTTTTTCTACTTTGGTTTCTTGTGATGGGAAGGTGGTAGCTAACAATTAGGAAGAGAGTCATCTAGTTCAGTGTTGCTAGCTAGCCTTTGTGAAGGCAGGATGGGTAAGGGAGGAAGCCTTGGAAGAATTGTGACCTCTGAAGTGGTATTTGCATCCTGAGGGTGAGAAGTGCCATGAGTAGAACATAGGAATAAATGAGTAAGTGTACAATTAAGTGTTTCTGGCTTTTAGACTGGTGGTGATCCAATTAGGGTGAAAATGACTCTTGGACACATGAAAGGTTTGTACAAGAATATGGGACCCTTGGGCTGGGAAGATAGCTCAGCGGTAGAGTTCATGCCTTGCAAGAATATGGGACCCTTGAATGTTCATCTTAGTTTTTTCATAATTAAAAAAATTGGGGACATAAAATAAGTTGTAATATACAAGTTAGGAAGAGGATAGTGAAATTGATGATGTGTAGAAAAGACAGAAAAAGAATATCTGTATATTTAACAAATTAGTTATCTTATTATGTATGTCATTAAACTAAAAAAAATCTATTTTGAACACACACTATTTCTGTTGCCTTCCTTTTCCCTTTCCTGTGGTGCTGGGGAAAGAACTAAGGGCATTATGCCTGCTGGCCTAGTGCTTTACCACTAAGCTCTCCCTACCTCCCACATATATATGTATATATACACACTTTATATGAGTGTGTATATATATATATGTACTTTATATATACACACTATATATGTACATTTTTTAATTTTAATTTTTATTTATTTTTTGTCAGTCGTGGGGCTTGAACTCTGGGCTTGGGTGCTGTCCCTGTGCTCTTCAGCTCAAGGCAAGTGCTCTACCGCTTGAGCCACAGCACCACTTCCGGTTTTTTAGTGGTTTATTGGAGATCAGAGTCTCACAGACTTTCCTGTCTGGGCTGCCTTTGAACCGTGATCCTCAGATTTCAGCTTCCTGAGTAGCTAGGATTACAGGTGTGAGCCACCGGCACCTGGCTTCTTTTTTATTTTATTTTATTTTATTTTGGGTCCAGTCGTGGGGCCTGAACTCCGGGCCTGGGCGCTGTCCCTCAGCTCTTCAGCTCAAGGCTAGTGCTGTACCACTTGAGCCACAGCGCCACTTCTGGCTTTTTAAATTTTTACTTATGTGGTGCTGAGGAATAGAACCCAGGGCCTCAGGCATGCAAGGCAAGCGCTCTACCACTGAGCCACCTTCCCAGCCCTCTTTTTTATTTTTTAATTGCCCATATATAAGCTCTGATTCTGTTCTTTGTTAAATATCCTTTTAAAGGATTAAGTCTATAGTTTGGGTAGGATTATAATCTTTACTCCGTTTTTTGACTGAATTAGTGTTATTATTTTGTAATTTTCATGAATAAAAATTACTTTCTCTTTTCTTTTTTTGGTGCCAGTCCTGGGGCTTGAACTCATGGCCTGGTTGGTATCCCTGTATTTTTGTGCTCAAGGCTAGTGCTCTAGCCTTGACACAGTTTCACTTCTGGTTTTCTGGTGGTTAATTGGAGATAAGAGTCTCATAGATTTTCCTCCCTAGGCTGACATCAAACCATGATCTTCTGATCTCAGCCTGAGTAGCTAGGAGTACAGGTATATGTCACCAGCAACTGTCCAGGCTCCTCTCCCCTCCCTTCCCCTCCCCTCTTTGTGGTACTGGGGCTGTACTTAATGGGCTTGCTACTTGAGCCACACCTCCAGCAAGCTTTTTGCTGGTTTAATTGGAGATAGAGACTCACACTTTTCTACAGGGTTTGCTTTGAACCAGAATCCTCAGGTCTCAGCTTCCAGAGTAGCTAGGATTGCAGGTATAAGCCACCAGCTCCCAGTAAAACTTACTTAAAAATTATTACTTGGAGCCAGGCACCGGTGACTCACACCTGTAATCCTGGCTATTCAGGAGGCTGAAATCTGAGGATCGAGGTTCAAAGCCAACTAGGACATGAAAGTCCATGAGACTCTTATCTCCAATAAACTACTCAGAAAACCAGAAGTGGCTCTGTGGCTCAAGTGGTAGAGCACTCGAAGGGCTGAGGGACACCACCCAGGCCCAGAGTTCAAGCCCCACAATTGACAAAAATAAATAAATAATAAAAATGAAAAAATTATTACTTGGTTGGGCATTAGTGGCTCATGCCTGTAGTCCTAGTTACTCAGGAGTCTGAGGATAACAGCAAAGCCAGTCCAGGCAGGAAAATTCATAAGACTCTTATTTCCTATTAATTATCAAAAAGCTGGAAGTGGAGCTGTGGCTCAAGTGGTAGAGCACTGCCTTGAGTAAAAAAGTTCAGAGAAAGTACCCAAACCCTGAGTTCAAACCCTAGTACCTGCCAACAACAAAAAGGATTACTGGACTTGAGCTTTGTTTCTCTAAGTTGTATGTTCAATTTAAAGCATATATCATTCTTTTTTTCCCCCTTAAAACATTGTTTTTTTTTTTTAACTCATTTGAAGTGGATTTTTTTTTTTTTAGACTTGGGCTGGGGTGTAGCTCAGTGGTATAGTGTTTGTCTAGCATATAAAAGGCCCTGGTTTATTCTTCAGCACATCAGAAGTATGTGAAATAAATGAAAGTAGGGAGTTGAAATTGCTTATACCATAGTAATGTAGGTGGCTTTCCAAGAAATATGAAATAAAAATGCTTTAAAAATCTTATTTAAATATTAGTTTTGGAGGGATATGTTAGTAAATGCTAAATACAAATCTCATATATTTTCATTCTTGATAGATTGTCACAGGAGATTATTTTTGTTTAGATACCCTAAAATGTAATAAATGATATGCTAAATTAGATTGTGTTTGTAAATTTCATTTTTTCTTATTTCAGATTCAGGAAAATTTTCATGGCAGATTGACATGTTGGTACAACATAGCATTTCAGAGCAGTTGTTAAGACTTCCAGATAACGTAGTTGCAGTGGCTAGGTTGGAATCAAACTATGGCTTAGCATGTGAATTCCTTATTTGGCTTAACTTACAGTTAAGCTTCCCATTTTTAGGGATTTTTTTTCCTTTCCTTTTCTTTTTTTTCGGGGGGGGGGGGAGTGGGGAGGGTCTGGTCATGGGGCCTGAACTCTGGGCCTGTGTGCTGTCTCTTCAGCTCCAGGCTAATGCTCTACCACTTGAGCCACAGCACCACTTCTGGCTTTTTTCTTTTTGCTTATGTGCTGAGGAGTGGAACCCAGGGCCTCAGGCATGCAAGGCAAGCGCTCTACCACTGAGCCACCTTCCCAGCCCTGGGATTTTGTTTTTTTTATGCAGTTACATCTTGTCACTGGTAAAACAAAGGCATGCAAGAAGAGTTACATCTAAACCAACTCAGTGTGATTATTCCCTATAGACAAATTACAAATATCATGTGCTATTAGAACTTATTTATTAGTGTCTATTCTTTTTGTAGATATGGGAAATACCGATTATTCTTTCCAAAAGGAAAGAGAGGATTACAAAAGGAAAAAGAGAAAGGAGCCTAGAAGAAATAAT